CCCCTCACTTTCACTCTTTGTGTTTCAATTGTCGCTTGGGTTGCTTCTGCAAAAGGTTATGCTTGCATACGGACATTATATTTAAATTCCAGTGTAGATTTGGTGGACTTATTTTTTGTACTGAAAAACTCAATAATTAATGACCTGTTTATATTGTGCAACGCAATTCCACGAACAAAGACGCATGACTAACATGGTTTCCATGTCAATGTGTCACGTGACTCATTACTACAAAATAGATACAGCATCACTTTATTAGCTGTGCCTATAACACCACTGACATGCTAATACTGCTTCATATCAATTTCTAGGATACTGACACTGCTAGTGCCATTGGATCAAAGTCATACAATGCTCTTGCTTCTGGGCTTGCTGAATTTAAGTCAGAGAAACCAGCAGAAGAGGATAAACATGTTGCAGAGGAAGAAACTGTTGATTTTGCTGCTGCAACAGCAGCAGCATTAGGGGTTCCGTCACCTACTGTTTCTCTAGGGAAACCATTTGATGAAAGTACACTCTCAGATTCAGCTGAACTGCAAATGAGACGAGGCGACCGTGAGGAAGACGAGGAACTAAGGAGAGTCCTTAGTCTATCCAAAGCTGAAAGCACGAATGTTGTTGATGGTTCTGTTTCCTTCAGCACTTCGCAGAGTCATTCATCCTCCAATATAGAGGATACACCACGTAGTGAGAGCTTTGTATTAGAGGCACCTGAGGTGGTAGGACCGTCAAATAAAGAGGAAGGTAGTCATGATTCTACATTACAAAACACAAATTCTGATGCTACTGTTAGTGAAGTCGCGTCTTCAGAATCTGAACAAGCTTTGACCTCTAAAGAAACAGAGGAAGATGGGAAAAGGGATGTGTTAGTAGAGCACCTTGATATACCTGTTCAATCTTCAGAATCTACTGTTGCCTGCCCTTCTCATGAATCTTCTGTTCTCAATGGCGAAGCTTCTGCTCCTGCTCCTGATCTCGCTGAAGCTAGTAAAGAAACCTGCAGAGAACATTCTACTATGCAAATTCATGACACTCAGGCTTCTGATACTGCCCCTCAGGTTTCTGATGCTGAGAACAGCTGTGACTCGGCAACTGTAACTAGTCAAGCTACTCCTATGGGTGCTACACCTCAGGCTTCTGATACTGCCCCTCAGGTTTCTGATACTGAGAACAGCTGTGACTCAGCAACTGTAACTAGTCAAGCTACTCCTATGGGTGCTATACCTGAGCAGGATGAGAAACTTGTTTCTCTAGACACTGCTGTGCTCGCCTCTTCAAGCATTCAGGGGAACGAGCCAATCTATCAAGGAGAAGAGCACATACTTGGGGGTGGAAACATGGCATTTCAAACTGAAGAGCCAGTGTATGAGGGTGAGGTGGTTCTTGCTGAGCAGGCTGACAAGATCGTGGAAAGTAGTCAATGCTTGGAAAATGGAGCTGCACATCATCAATGTGAGATTTTTTCCAGTTACCAGTTGTGCAATTGGGTCATGAATATTTATTCACAATATTTAGCTTTACACCCCTTCATTTGTTTGCAGGGGACCTGATTGATAATTTTCTACAGAGCACTGCTAACCAGCTGACTGTCTATGGGTACAGTTCTGTTCATAGGTTTAAGCGCATCGATTTCTCTTGTTCATAATTAATATGTGGCAAAATTTTCATCATTACAGTTTGTTTTGTCTACAAGAGGGTCTTAAGGAAAGAGAGCTTTGTGTCTTCTTCCGCAATAACCACTTCAACACTATGTTCAAGGTATGATAATTAATTAAGTCAGATTATGTAATTACAGTAATAAGCTATTAAGCTTGCTGGCTTTATTTTTTCCATGCCTTTTGTGCAGTATAACGGAAGTCTATATCTCTTAGCAACTGATCAGGGTTTTTTCGGCCAAACTGATTTGGTATGGCAAACGTTAGATGAGGTATGTAATAGCCCTCTCCACCAACACTTTTATTCACTTGAAATGGAAGTTACTGATTTGTTTTGTTCTCAATTGTCAATCATTAGGTGAATGGAGATGGGGTTTTTCTCACTAGTAACTTCACACCATTTATGGCTGAAACTCCCAGAAATGATTCATGGAATCAACAGCAGGCCATGACGACTACTGCTGTATGTGCAACATCAATAGATTTTTGTGATTGTCATTGGGTTCTATAAGATTATATAATTCATTGTTTATTCTATCCTCAGGACTATATTGCTCAATTTGACAATTCTCTGCCAAACTCATCTGGAGAGTATGCCCCTCGTACCCTCTTTTTTTGCAAAGTTCTATGTTGGCCAGATAACAGATCTTATCCAAATTACTATTGCATAACAGTTTAACCTTTGCAACCATGTTAATGTGTATTGTCAGATATGATGTGATATTATGATGCCAGTTGAAGCTATGTACTCCCTCCGTTCGGAATTACTTGTCGTAGAAATGGATGTATCTAGATGTATTTTAGTTCTAGATACATCCATTTTCGAGACAAGTAATTCCGAACGGAGGGAGTAGTATTTTCCCACCCTGCTGTTCCTAGTTAGCCTTTTGCAGTTATTGGTTCTGTTCTGCACTTCTGCTTGTTTTAGGCTTGCAATCCAGTCTGTTGTACCGAGTGTTGTGGCTATTTCCCATTTTAGTTCCTTGCCTGGTTGACGAGTTGGTGGGGGATCTTGAATTTTTTATTAAACTTCTCATTTCATGCTTAGCTGAATGACCAATATCTAGGTATGTTTTATGGAGAGTATACACATGCTCAATTTGCTGTACCACTACATGGCATGCAGTAAAAATGTTCAAGTTGTAAAGTAGTGGTAAAGCTGTTGCCTTGTGACCAATGAGCTCATGGGTTTGAGTCCTGGAAACAGCCTCTTGCAGAAATGCAGGGAAAGGCTGCGTACAGAAGACCCGAAGTGGCCGGACCGGGCTGCCCTGTGCAAGTGGGAGCTACATGCACCAGGCTGCCTTTTTTTTATCTATACATCTGGTTACTTAAAATACCGTCGGCAATCATAGTTTTAGATGCATTATAAGTACGGTATGATGGTTCTCTGATGCAAAGAGATAGTTGTAGGCTTGTAGCACCTACGTGGTCCAGGTTAACCCGTTTAACAGGTTAGCATGACGTAAGCCTGACTAGGAAAATGTGTATGAATTATCCTGTTCAACAAGATAGCATGATATTTAGCCTGATTAGGAAAATGTGCACGAGTTATCCCATTTAACAGGTTAACCTTACTAGGAAAATGTGCAATGATAAGGAAAACTGCACAATGCATGGTTGCAGGCAAAAGGCGAACCCTCAAATATACCTGTATTTGCATGTGTATATCCCCAAGGCCTAACCTGTTTGCATGGTTTTTCTTTTATGTTGTCAGCTCGGATTTAGAGCTAGCTATCGCACTTCAACAACAGGAGTTTGGGCAGCAACCTCAACAACACCAGCCTCCACCACAGCAGCAGCAGCCTCAGCAACAACAGCAGCAGCAACAGACGCAAACACACCAGACACCCAATCAATCATCAGGCCGGCCAGGACTTGTTGTTGGCCCAAGGGTATGTTTCCTTTGGTTTGCTGTTTGATGCATGTAGCTAGTGTTCCGAACATTTAATCATCACGACCAGTAAACATCTAATTACCACACACTGCCTGTTACAATTATTATATTCTTTATGTACTGACAACTGTCATCCCATGGTTAAAAGTTAAATGTGGGAGATTTGCCAACCTGTATATACCATGTTGCAAAATGCAATGAGTACATGCCAGTTTTGACCTAGTACTTTCATTCTATTTGAGTGAAACATGACCACAACCCCTAACCCTGAAGTCACATTGGTTCTACTATGCTCGAATCATTTTTGTACTCAAGTGATATTTTAATGTCAACTTGTGAACTATCTGTATTGCTGCTACAATGTCAAAAGCTACCTATGTTACATAAAACCAAATCTATTGCACAGAACCAGTAATTATCCATTTAGTTGTGGATCCTAAATAGTAAATTCCTCCATAGTCCTTGCACTCATTCCTGGTAGTGTTTTTTAACTACATTTCCACTGCTTATGGTATCAATTATTCGCAATCGCTAGTGACCAGGCGGCATATCTTTGCCCTGGCCTGCTTCACACATTTTATATCCTACGTAATAATAATTCTTATGCATTGCCGGTTCATGCTTTCACTTGTCTGAGAATTACTTGTGGTTTTAATTCTGCAGCAGAGGTCAAATGTCCCGCCGCCTGCAAGAACCGAGTCGAAGAAAGAGAAGTGCATTGTAATGTAAAGATATTCCAGGAACAGAACAGGAGAAAAGAAAAAGGAGACAAGAAGCACCATACATATACTGTAAAAAGGTCTTCTTGTCTCATGCCGCACCGTGCTTGCGGCACGGCAGACTTAAATTTGTAGCCAGCCTCCATCAAGCCGTTTCTCGTTTTTAGCTCTCTTATTTCTTCGTTGTTTTCCCTTGTGTAAATACCCTCTTGGAAAGCCATAAAACGTGAAAACAGAGGTCGATGTGTTTACGCTGCAATGTGATTGATCAAACTCAACTCATCGTCTATGAAAAGCCGTGGTCTACACTCAACTCATTGTCCATAAAAAAGTGTTGCATACTCTATGTGGCTTATTTTGCTCATGCTTATCTCAGTTATAAGCGTATTATAAAGGTGCAAGAGAAAGGCAGGGTTCTCTTCTCAAAAACTTGTTACGGGTGCTTTTCTATGTGCACATCCAGTTCAACCGACGCCATACCATATGCAGAACCCATTGTGTCACAACATTCCTATCTACACACACACACCCTCCAAGAACAAATGAAACAAAATTGCCGCGCTGTGCTGGTTAGCCAGTTTGAGATGCGCAAAGCGGCGGAGGTATAAGCTGGACTTTGATCTGTCTCGACTAAACGGACAGTGGAGTGGCGCAATCACCCCCCTAAATAGAAGGAGGGGTAACAACTCCATCAACCAATAAACTGAGGGGTTACAACTCAATCAACCATCAAACTATCTCGATGTAAACTTCCCCGTTGATCCGGCCGGCGAAGAGGGCGATCATGAAAGGGAACCTCGCAAGGCATGCCACGAAGTCATCCTTGCTGATTTTGTCGTCGTCGTCAATGTCAAACGTCTCAAACAGCTTCAGCATCTGCAAATCAGAGTACAGCCAGGGTGAGTGGAGTCGGCACACTGAAGTTACATCGTTTGACCGGCTTGCATTCCAAGAGAACCTGAAAGGTCGAAAACTCACCCTGTCGTCTGCTGGAGGAAGCATGCCCGATCGCAGGGCGTCGGCTAGCTGTGCAAGGGATATGTCAGAGGTCCCAGGGGCCTTGCATTTCTCGAAGGCGGTTTCGCACACTCCCTCAAACAACGGCTGCTTCCTTAGGTGCGCACACCCGACCAGGAACTGTGTACATCAAGTAGTAATGTGGTAGCATGTTAGGACAACATACAGCAATGACCTATGACGATATAGAGTAAACATATGGCCATATATGTAGGAACATGCTACCACATCGTCGGAATTACAATGACCTATGCTAGCTACGAGATGGACTGCGTTTTAAATCAATACCTGTCGGAATGTGATGGATTCCTTATTTTCAAAATCGAAGTAGTGAAATATCTGAAACAAATATGCGAGTTCAGCAAAGACAATAGTTTCACATAAGTTTTCTGTCAATTTTGTTTTAAGGAAATTAAGCTTGATGGTATTTGCAGGGAGGAGAGTGTTAGTACCTTCTTGCATAGAGGACTGCAATCTAGGCCAAAAGGAGCCCAAAAATCTTGTGCTTTAACACGTCCACTGCAAGAATTGGTTAATTGTATTTATCACTACACTGCGGAATGACAGAAAATAATAGGCGTGTCTACTTATAAACAGAGAACGGAAGTAATGTTGCATCCTTTAAGCAAACAATCGTTAATGACCAAACTTTTATAATCTTCTATAAGGTAATCCAGTAGTTGTCAGTTAAGGGATGAAGAACTTACTCGCTGTCTGGATTCATAGCCAAAAAGTGCTCCAAGAGTTCCATTGCTTCTGCGGTGCTTACACCATACACCTGAAAACAGATGTAAAAAGGAAATCAGATACTATCACATAGCTGAAAGCAGTATGCACAGTACTTCGGAAAGAGCCAACATGTGAAATAAAACGCTGCGTGGATCATGGAAAAAAATCAACTACGTACAAGTCTAGAACTATCATTCATCTATCCTCACAGAGAAGAAAAATGTCTCGTTATAGTGAAGCAAGAGATAACTCTAGATGCACAAAGAAGCAAACTTAAAGGCAAATGAAATCAACGTTGTACCATAACATTTTCTTCAATAATAGCACAACTTCACAATCTTATGATGTTTCTTTGATAGGTTTTCTCACCAAGTTCTACATACAGTGTAATTTAAGAAAGACTTACTTCTTTTACCCAAGCCATTTCCACCATATAACTTGAGCAGTTGGCCTGCAAATGGAAACTCAGCTTATTAGAGTCAAATTCCTACTTCCTACTCAAGTGCACGCATGCCCATCTCCAGTTACCGCCATTTGAAATTCTGGAAGATTCCCTATGGTAAGGACTCCAGAAAACAAAGGTCAAAGCTGGCACATGAATTTAGAATATAGAGACAGTGTTGTAGGTGGCCTGTTACCTTTCCAGCTTCTTCTGCTCTTGACGCAATCATTGAATCAGCATATGAATAAGAAGTCGGTAAAACATTAAGGGCGTGTGCCATAGCATAGCTGGTCTGTAGAATAAAAATATTATGACCACATTGCTACAGAAACCATAGGAGTTGAAAGGACGATTCATTTGAGTAAAACAGTATTACATTCTCTGCAAAATGAAGGGCATTCTCCTGCTTGATCTCAGGGGGGTAGACAATAGGGAGGTACTCTACCTGTAAAATCAATTATTCATATAAGGAATGAGCTTATTGTGTGAGGAATTGCTGCCAATAAACATGAGAGACAGTGGTTGGGGTGTGCAAGAAATGCAGACCTCCATGAAGTTGTGAAACTGGGTGAACATCTTGAACATGAGTGCTATTAGTGATATGTTTCCCCTGAAACACAATAACAATTATGACAGGGAACAGCGCAAAAAGAAAAAAGAAGAAGAATGCATAATCTTAGAGAAACTAACCAGGACTGGTCAAAGTGCACATGGGGGTAACGAACAACAACCGGTTGAACAGGGTAGCCAGGTATGAATGCTCCATGTTGGAATGAAATCAGAAATCTCCCATTGGTTGTAGTGCCTTCAGGGAACAACAGGACACGCGGAAAGCTATTGCCACCTGCCTTTCTCTGAAAGCACATCCTAAAATGTACCATATGAACAAAATAACTAATAGACAATAAAGTTGTTTGTCTTATGTTATAGTATGAGTTGCATGGAATCAACTTTTAAAATCAGTTACACCGTGCACTTTAGACGACAGTAGGAAGTGCAGAACAACTATGGGGTCAAGGCCTGATGGGAAGCATCCTAACCTTTATTTCATTCACAGCTGACTTCCTTGAAGCCGGCGAGAATCTATCAACGTATATAACCTGTAAGATAGGTATAAATTGTCATAAAGTTTGACACTTGAAAGGAACTTGCAAATTGAAATGCTTCAAGAGGAGAATGTAAAGGTACATGCCTGCATTGCTCTTATGATTGTTCCAACAAATGGTATGGCATCATGGGAATCCGATGAAACAATGGTTGGGAACAATTCATAGAAGAAGTATATGGGATCTATGTATGATACATGATTGGAAACAACTATAGGTGCAAGCTCTCTAGGCGCAGGCCTTCCTTTTCGTGTGATCCAGTGATACCTGAGAGTACAAACGAGTGGCCAACAAATATCAGACAGTACTCAATAGCAATATAAGATGGGAAAATATGATAAGTATGCGGTCAAAACCAGAAACCCTCCAGTAAGTATAAACAAGCAGTAGAGCACATTGTACAAATGATTTTTCGCCAGTTAGCTTTTCATTTTATTTCAGGGAAGGTTGGTAAGCAAGGTTCCTCACCAGTCACCACTTTGACATCGTTTTAGAAACATTCAACGAATTGTATCCAAAACGTTCAACTGAGCAATTGCCAGTTGTGTAAGGCATAAGGTCATACGCCCCACAAGCAGAACCCATGAACTGTGCTTCCAGCATGGACATCATCATCATTTGAATTATCTACACATTATTCCCATTTGAATTATCCACAGTCACACACATTACAGACCACCTGGTTCATGTCCCCAATTAACAAGGATGTAACAAAATTATCAGGGGTAATTTTGTTGAAATAATTGTCCTCTTCTAATTCTTGGGTAGCTCTCTCTAACTAGCTCCTCATATAAAAATTGTCGAGGCATATCACCAGCAATGTTGTGATCTACAAACCCAAGCAAAAGCTAACCAGAGGGAGACGGACCGTGCAAGAATCAGTTTCCAACCTACGGTGAACTGTGATATTAACCAGACGGGCCCTCCCGTTCCTGTCGGTCAGCCGTATTAAGTGCATGTCGTAACAAACAAAGTCACCCGCACGGTCCTTCACCTTCCGAGCTGATACGGCGTCGGCGTCGCCCCCACCAAACAAATCGCTGCCCACACACGTGCCGCAAGGCAAATCCCCCCCAAATTCTGCAAACCAACCAAACTTCTCCCGATCGCGTCATCCATCCGCGGCAGCTTCGGCATGTGTCGCCTCGCCGCCGAAACCTAATCATCTAGTGAAACAAATTCGAAGCTTCCCAGCGGCTCATCGATCGAGCGCCAAATGTTCAGATCAGATCGAAACCCAATCCGAGCAGAGCTGCTGCTGCTAGCGGCGCTTGCTGAGGCGGAGGCACTGACCCGAAGGAGAAGAGGATGCAGCGCGCAGAGAGCCGGGTGACCCACATGAGCCGGCGGCGCCAGGCCGGCATGGGGCCGGCGCCCTCCCGCGGGCGCTCCCGCGAGTCGGTCCAGCCGCGCAGCGCCACCCACGTGGCGGCGTACCCGATCGCGATGGCCAGCCCGAAGAGCACGAGCCGCGCCGTCGCGACCGGCGCGAGCAGCAGCGTCCTGGCCCACCCGTAAGGGCCGCCCAGCCACGGCGTCCTGTTGCGGAACGGGTCGGCGGGGGACGGGCCCGGCGGCCGCGGCGGGCGGCTGTCCTCCGAGAGGAACGCGAACGGGTCGCCGCCGCCTCCGCCGTCGCACACCGAGGCGGCGGCGCAGAGGTCGTCGTCGCCGTCGTGGCCCCGCGCGTGGCCGTTGGCGGCGCGGGTGGGCGTGGTGGGCGTGATGGAGTCGGAAAGGAGGGGCGTGGCGAGGGAGGAGGCCGGG